TGTGACCTTGACCAGAGCAGCTGTGGGCAGCACGGAAACCCGATTGGAGGGGTTCATGGAGGGAGTGAGAGGAGAGGAAAGAGCGAAGCTGGGAGGCAATGGCTCTCTCAAGAACCTTGGATAGGAAAGGGAAGTTTGAGATGGGCCGATAGCTGGACATCTGTGATAGGTCGAGGGAAGGTTTCTTCAAGGTGGGGGTGATAGTGGCTGTTTTGAGGGGGGAAGGAACAGTGCCAGATGACAGGGAAAGGTTAATGATGTTGATGAGTAGTGGGGCAAGGAGCTGGAGCTGGGATTTAAGGTGAGGGGTAGAGATGGGGTCGAGGGAGCAGGTGGAGGACTTCATGGAGGGTACCGTGTTGAAGACAGAGGAGGGGGTGACAGGCTCAAAGGTGTGGAAGGAGGGATGGTAATTGTCGGATGGGTAATTGTGTGCGGGAGGGTAGGGAGGGGTTGGAAGTTGGGAGGGCTGTTGCAGCTGAGTGGATTCCCTCGATTTTAGACTTGATTCTGGACTCGAGTAAGTCCAGCATTTTCTGGCAGTGAGAGTCAGAGGAAAGTATCTGCGATGCATGTCAGGGAGGGCGGAGAAGCCGGTTGGTGGTGGAAAACAGGAGCCTGGGATTGCTTTTCGCCTCCAGGATTAACCTGGAATAGAAGGATGATTTGGCTGAGGCGAGAGCGGAGCGGTAGTTCTTGATGAAGTCCAGCCAGATGTGGTGGTGAACCGTTAGGCCGGATTTGAGCCAAGTGCGTTCGGCAGCCCGCACCTGGCCCTTGAGCAAGCGGAGGTAGCTGATGAACCAGGGTGAGGATAGGGAATAGGAGGCAGTTCGGGAGGTGAGGGGAGTAAGGACGTCAAGTGTGGTGGAGAGGCTGCTGTGGAGAAGAGTGAGTACAGTGTGTGGGTTGTTGCAAGAGGTGGGCCAAGGGATAGGAGATCAGAGGACACCAGGGCAGCGGAGAGGGATTGCGGGGAGATCTTCTTCCACGGGCAGTAAAAGATGGTGGTAGGTTTGGAGGCAGTGGGGAGAGGGATGTAGGAGTTGAGGGAGATGAAATGGTGGTCAAAGATGGCCTTGTCAGTGATGGTGACATCCGAGACGCTGAGGCCCCGGATGATCACTAGGTCAAGTGGGTGACCGTGGGTGTGGGTAGCAGAGTGGATGTGGAGGGAGAGGTTGAGAGAGGAGAGGAGAGAGGAGGAGTCTGAGGAGATGGAGCAGGAGCGGGTGAAGTCGCCTACGATGATGAGGCGGTCAGAGCAGAGGCAGAGGGAAGCAAAGAGGGTGGAGATGTCAGAGATGAAGGTGGGAGAGGATTTTGGGGGCGGTAAAGTAAGAGAATTTTCAGAGAGAGGTGGGAGGGATGGCAGAGCATAAGGTGTTCGAAAGAGGGGAACGAGCCGGTGGAATAGGGGGATAGGGCAAATGAGGCCCTGGATATGAGGGCCACACCACCGCCAGGACGGTTGAGACATGGGGCATGGTGGTTGGTGTAGCTTGGTGGTGTGTCCTCAGTGAGGGGGAAGGTGTTACCTGGGGTGATCCAGGTTTCTGTGAGTGCCATGATGTCAATGTTCTCATCGAGGATGAGTTCATTGATGACCAGGGTCTTATTGGAGATGGAGCGGACATTTTGAAGTCCAATGCGGAGTAGACAGTTGACAGGGGGATTTGTGGGATGGGAGGGGGTAGTGGAATGGTTGGGAGGGAGGGTGGGGATGTAGATGAGGGAGGAGAGGTTAGCCCCTGGGGTCAGGGTCCGGGGTGGCTTGCAGCGGTAGTGGGGAATGGGAAAGCCGATGTGGCTGCTGCTGGACAGCCAACGCTGAGTGCCACGATGAGCCCGGCAGAGGATTCCCAGGCTGAAGCAGAGGGAGGCAGTGGGGGGCGTCAAGCAGAGATAGGAGGTGGGGAGAGCGGAGAGGGAGCAAGACAGAGCGGGAGAGTTGCAGGCAGGGGGGCATTTTGAGGGAGGGCCAGCTCGAGGTGGGGGCGGCATCCAAGATGCACACGCTGGGACGAGAGGCGACCGGTTTAGTGGGACATTGTCAGCCTGCAGGAGGCTGTAGGGGCTAGAGTTGGCACAGAGCTGGGAGGGCACTCATTATGGATAGCAACGAGCAGCCTGCAGGGGAAGGACAGGGCAGACAGACAGACAGACAGAGAGTGGGAGGGAGGGAGACACTGGTACAGGCTGTACTGTGGTACACTGGGCTGTAGCTGCTACCAGGGTTTCCAACCGGGCGGGCGGACTTGACGTCACGCAGAATGGCGGGAAATTGTGGAAGTCAAAAATGGCGGCTCCCCCGACCGGTAAAGGCCGCCGCTCGATCTCTGTGATACCCGCCCCAGCTCAAGGTCCACGAGACCCCCGGCCCAGCCGGCAGTTACCGGCTCCTGCCTCTAGCTGACACTGGTTCTGATCCCCGGGAGACCAGCCGCTGCCTTGTGTGACTTAACTTCCGTGAGACCCGCTCGGCTTACCTGGGTTTTCGAGGCCCTGACGCTCACTGGCTCGACTGTCGCTGCCGCTCGCTGGCTCGACTGTCGCTGCCGCTCGCTGGCTCGACTGTCGCTGCCGCTCGCTGGCTCGACTGTTGCTGCCGCTCGCTGGCTCGACTGTCGCTACCGCTCGCTGGCTCGACTGTCGCTACCGCTCACTGGCTCGACTGTCGCTGCCGCTCGCTGGCCCGCGACTCAATAAAAATAAAAATAAATAAGTAAAAAATGAAGGAGAAAGAACAAAAATAAAACACTGCAATGATGAGCTCTGAGAGATTTTTGAGCCTGGCTCAACCGGAAGCACTTTTGTCTCTAAGCCAGAAGGTCATGGTCAGATCCTCCAGTGCTGTGTGTGTGCTGCATTGCTCGAGGTGCCGTCCTTTAGATGAAATATTAAACCGTAGTCCCGTCTGACTATTCCGATGAATGTTAAAGATCCCGTGGCCCTAATTGAAAAGAGAAAGTGGTTCCTCCGAGTGTCCTGGCCAACAAATACACAATCACTGCACATTAAAGGGCAGCTTTATTCTACAGCCTTATTGAATTTTCATCTTTAAATCCCTCCATGATCTTGCTCTGCGACGTATTAAAACTTCACCAACCTGTCCGCTCCCTCAGCTCTGCAGGCACTGGCCTGCTCTCTGTCCCTGCCCTGCCTGATGCACTACCAGTACTCAGGCCTTCAGTTTTTCTGCCTTCTCTGTCTGGAACTTCATCCCAGAGCTCCTCCGTCTTCCCTCCTCTCTTGCCTCCTTCTAGCCCATCTGAAGACTTTCCTTTTCGACCGTGCCTTTGGTCATCCTCCCTTCTCCAATCCTCTTGCCCTCTGCCACTCTCTGATCCCAACTCGCGGCTCAGGTGCAAATCCCTCATTATCCAGCATTTAGGACGTCCTCCTAAATATAAATATAAATATAAATGAAATTTGTTGTTGTTTTTGTTTGCAGAAAACTCTTGTGACATGCTTTTCAACATTATACACACTTTTGGGGGGAGTCAGCAAGGTGTCTTGACACAATCAGAAACCCATCGCCAAGCTCAAGAGTTTCCAACCCAACTAGGTTTTCCGCATGTATCTCACCTACACATTCAAATTTAGGTACAAAGCAATGCTCATATTGCAGTCGCCTGGCAGCAAGTCAAGCATAGAAATACATCCTCTCTAACATCTACAAAGTCTTTTCAAGATCTCAACTGCTTAGCCAGAATCCGACTTTCTGCCCTTAAGTATGTCCCTGGCTAGGTTTTCCGAGGTTAGTTAGGGATTTGATGATCATGCAACACGACTCTGGAATACATCACAGGTCTTCGTGCCAGGCAGTTCTTGTTAATTCTGCACCTTGCAGTTTGATGAGAACACTTTAATATGCTGAGCAGCCACATCTAGATCAGTCAACCAGGGAAAGACCAGCATTACTTTTTAATACATCCTTATAGGTTTTCTCATTTTCAGATTAACTCTGAATATTGCAGCAGATTGATAAATGTTTCATTCAAGGGAAAATTAAGTAGCATGAACTTGTGCAGCAACATCATTTACTAGTTTATCAGATGGAGGTGGGCGAGGGCCATTTCTCAACAGCTGTCTCGAGTGTAACATGGATATTTTTAAGTTAACCTCTGCAGTGCTTCGGTTCACAGTTTTGCTCAAGCTGGAACTTTAAAGAGAAAATAGTTCAGAATGCGCAAGTGGGAGCCCAGAGGTTGGCCTGTCAAGGCTGGGTCATGTTGGTGTAGTCATGGCACTTGGACATGCAAAAGCAGTGCTGGGGTGTGTGGCAATGTCCGAGATGCCTTCCTACAGATGAGATATTAAACCGAGGCCAAGTCTGTCTGTTCAGAGGGATGTTAAAGAGTTTCTCCGATGTCCTGGCATCAATCATTCACTTCATAGCTATTTGTGGGACATTGCTGTGGTCAAATTGGCTGCCGTGTTCACCAACAAAACCACAATCATTCCACTTTACAACGTATCCTGTGATGCCCTTTGGGACGTTCTCCTGAAGTGAAAAGTGCTACATCAAATGTAAGAATTATTATTATGAGTGGGAGTCATATTTCCTTCCTAATTAGTGTAGTTTTTAGCTGTCCATGAACTAATGCAGCTATATTGTTTACCAGGGGTAATAATGCTTGCTCTCCCTCTCCACCACAGAACAAAATGTGGTCACTCCATGGCTGTTTGTGGGACATTGCTGTGCACAATTGGCTGATGAATTTCGCCCACATAATGTACAGTTTCGCCCACAAAATATACAGTCAATTCACTTTACAGTATATTCGGTGAAGTGCTTTGCGACGTCTTAAACACGGGATAAGGCACTTTATCGAATGCAAGGATTATTATTATTACATTCTGTGAAATGCTTTGAGACATCTCAATGCCGTGATAAGGTGCTACATGAAATGCATGGATTATTAAAATTATTATTATATTGTGGTGAGGCGGAGCAATCCACCTGAATATTTGGCATGGCTTTGCGTTTCCCACAGGTGAGAGTGTTCCTGTTGAACTGGTGTGCCTGGTTCCTCCGAATGAAGAAGCCTGGCGAAGGCAAGAGTGACATCCCCTACAGGTACAGCCGGCAGCAGCCACAGAGCATCAGCAGCGTGGAGATGAGCGGCCTCTCTGGACAGCAGACCATCAATGGCAATATGATCTACTTTGGCTACCACACCATGGAGAACCCGTGCTGCCCTCCTAGCAGCGACTCGGGGGTCATGTGTGGACGGATTACCTCCTCCACCACCGAGGACCACGGCATGGTTCAGAGCAGCCCTCCCCCAGAGAGCCCCCCCGAGATCCTGAAGATCCTGGAGGAGGTGCAGTTCATTGCCAAGCGCTTCAGGGACCAGGACCAGGGAGAGGCCATCTCCAGCGAGTGGAAGTTTGCCGCGGCAGTGGTAGACAGACTCTGCCTTGTGGCGTTCACGGTTTTTTCTATAGTTTGTACATTCGCCATTCTAATGGCCGCCCCTAATTTCATAGAAGCCGTTTCTAAGGATTTTGCATGAGACGCAGTGGAGCAGTAAATAAATACATTGAAACTCAAGGTCAGCTAACACATAGTAAAAGGGAACAAATAAAGTATGTAAGCCAGACACACCATTGCTGAACGTAGGATGTTAAAAGGAAATTATTCCACACGTGTCCCGAACACACATAATCCTTGTTCCTGCTCGCATGCTCTCTCAATGCTCATTTTGCTTTTGGTCGTGGCCATCTGACACATTTCCTGTAACTGATCGCTTTCTTCCTGGCGACAGGTTACAATGCATGTTGAGTAATTTTCAAACATAAGCATTCTCTCCCCACCTCCCCATAAGGAAAAGCAATTCTAGTCACACTATGATCCAGTCGTTCTGTATTTATTTGCTAAATTACAGCCGGCAGGAAAGCAAATTCCCCACAGCCTATGAATGACTTTATAATTAAAATGGTCACATAATGTATACTGACCCAGAGGGTAATGTTATAACTAGGAAAAATTTTACATAAATTAAACATGTCTGTCTCCCATAAGTAAATAAGGTACATTTTAGAATAGCTGTAGTATAGTCTTGATGTGGATACTTTTTGTGCTGCTTCTTGATATAGGTCAATGTTTTATTATTCTAAGAGGGAACGTAGCCTTCCTAACATGTTTCATTATATATCTGCGTCCTGACATTCAAACATCTCTTTCACAAGTGCTATGGTCCCAAGGCTCATAATCATCGTGGCATAGATTGAGCTGTGAAGTGACTCTTAAGTGAGTGCCTGAAAGTCACTGTCACTGATGAGATCCGTGTAACAATTTAGACTGTAAGAACATAAGAACATAAGAATTAGGAGCAGGAGTAGGCCATTCGGCCCTTCGTGCCTGCTCCGCCATTCAATAAGATCATGGCTGATCTTCTGTGCTTCTGTGAGATTGACATGGATCTCTACTAGTAATGTAGCAAACCTTCCATTATTTATTTAGAACAGAACTTTCCATTACAAACAAACATACAGGGGCTCAAGTTCTCATATGTTCTTAAGTGTGCAACTATCGTCTTAACTTTATTATTATGCAGAACTCTGGAAGATAATGCTTGGAGACAACACTAATGCTGCAACTTTCATACTGGGAGTTTGCTGGCTCCAATCCCAGTCTGTGCTGAATTTGCTAGTCTCAATCAGGGCTGCATGCGGAGACTAAATTGGATCCGGCATTCTCTGGAATAGGAAAATAAAAGCAGACGGTGCTGTTTCGAGTCCCTCTGTTGCACTCTCTACTAATTGTGTTTTTGTGGTAGCTGGGTGTGGGGAGGTCAGGCTCATCCGTGATGCCCTCCATGGACCAGTGGCTGGCCCACATTCATCTGCCAATGACCAATGATCACTTGGACAGAGTACCAAAGTGTAACCAGAACCCCAAAAAACAGATCCCAACAAGAAGGGACCAGAAGCAGAGAGGAAGGTGGCAATAGGGAAAAGATGAGATGTGCTACATTGAAAGCAAAATAGAAAAATAAACTTAAATCTTGATTTGGGAGTGAACCTTCCATAATTCCTTTTGGATGCAACAGAAATCAGCTTCCAAATTAAGCTTGCATTTAGGGTTAGTTTATATATATATTTCGTAAAATCTTACATTTTAACACAATAATCTTAAGCTTAAGAACATAAGACTTTTCGGGCCTGAGATTTACTTTAAGAGATCAATACATGAATGACTCCAATGTCATAAGGGTAGTGAACTCGCCTATCAAGTCCACAAAATGAGGGCCATCACATGAAATGTGTAGGAACCTAAAATGTCATTATGAATCCTGCAAAGCAGATTCATGTATGTTATCAACCTTCTTATCATGCAGTGTATTTAATTCTGTTCTTAATATGCATTTTTGTTTTAAAAATATGATGTAAAGCATGTGCTCTATTTGATCACAGGATGCTGTGGTATAATGCTTCTTCTAAGTATTTGTTGATAATTGATGAAAACCCAGAGTGTAAGACTATGTTTTAAACTCCAGTGTCTTGCATTTGTCAGTTCTGCACCCAGCATCAATGAACTGATATTGCAGTTCCTAAATGGTAACCAGGATTGGAGTCTGGTAAGCAGCAGTTACATTTATAAAGGTGTGCCATGATCACTGAATCCAAGAACAAGCTGAGGATGGCCATGTCCAAATTATATTGTCCCAATGCTCCCACTAGACCAGCATTCAGAGACCATAGTCTTCAGTGTAACATTAATCACCTCAGTGTAAACACTATCCTCCACACTTCAGACACCACCTGCTTCCATAAAAGGACCAGGAGCTGTAATGTCACATCCTTCTTCTCTTTCCCCACCGTCAATGCCAGAAAATTCACACTGCACCGATGCTGTGTAAGTGAAGTCTCTTCACTTCCACCAGTATGGTTGTTTTGCCCACTAAATATACAGTCAATTCACTTTGGTGTATATTCCGTGAAGCGCTTTGAGACGTCTCAACAATGTGATAAGGCGATATATCAAATCAAGAATTATTATTATTATGACAATGCAGATAGGTAAGCCGGATTTATACTTCCCGGACCTCATTGCATCACATCAAGACCATTATAAAGCAAACAACAAGATTCTGGAGCTTGCTATGCGTACATTTTATCACACAGAAATCATGTACAAACACAAAACACAATGTTATTCTAAAGTTGATCACACTCTAATAATATTTCAAAACTCCCAGAAACATCTTGAACTTTTCGATGACTATTTGCTCTCCATTTATTTCACAGAAGACCTTGACGGTTGGGTGCAGTACTGGACGCTTCATTACAGGAAAGATACAGAAACATTATAAAAGGTGCAGCATAGATCCACTAGGATGTTATCAAGGATTCAATTGTAAAGAGAGACTTGAGATGTTAGGAGTTTTTCACTGGAGCGGAGACAGTTAAAGGTTAGCGTAATATAGGTCTTCGAGATTATGAAGGATTTTGATAGGGAAACTAGCAATGGTTATTTCCACTGCCCATTGAGTCACTAAATAGAGAGCACTACTTTAAGGTAATCATAAAAAAGGATTAAAAGTGACACTAGAAAGATATTCTTAACATAGAGGATGGTTTGAATGTGGAATTATTTTCACAAGCTATTGTTGATGCAGATTTTTTTCAATCCTTTCCAAAGAGAATCAGATGAATGCTTGAAATAAATGTAAGGAAGGCAAGAGGAACGAGCAGGAGAGTAGATGACTCATATGGTGAAAAACACCAGCTCAGACATGATGGGCTAAATTTCTGTGCTTTAAAATTCTATAAATCTATGTTGTATAACATCATCATAGCCTCACGTCAAGCAGGGCACAATTCGGCCTGGTCTTGATTTACCCTTTTTATGTCACATTTCAGAGTGTCCAAAATTTGGCAAATTGTTGAATTTAGTTTTGCATTTGAAGTTGGTTTTCTTACGAAACTTACGGAACATCGAGCATCAACATTAAGGCTGTATTTATGAATTTGTCAGATTCTGAATTCTTTGGCAGGTTAGGTTAATGGAGTAAAGCTAGACCCAGGTGGAATTTCTACTCCATGGTGCTCTTGGTTTCAAATGCTTGACCCATCAATCATCAATTAGAAAGAGGCTTGTTTTCAGAGAGAGAAACTAGTGATATCAACCTTTTTATTGTGAGGTTTTCTCTGGGTCTCACCACCCCACCCATACACACACAAACAAATATGTAATCCATCACACTGGAGCACGAATGTAAATCTGGAATGTTAAGGACCTTTTTTAACATATAATGTGGTTTCCCTTTCAATCTTCCTTCCACTTGAAACTTTAAGTGGAAGTTACAAACAAACTCTGACAAATAATAATCCTTAATATCCTCACAATAAAATTTTATATTGTGCCATTCACGTCAGGAGGATGACCAAGGCAATCTTAGCTTGGCACCTGAGCTGAGGTGAGAACTGATGGGGTTGGTGAGAGAAAAATGGACCATAGGGAAAGATCTTGGTGGGGTGGGTAATAATGTACCACACTGGAGCACCTATGCAAATCTGGAATATTAATTATGTTTCTTAACGTAGAAAGCATTTTCCTTTTCAATCTTTCTCCCACTTTAAAGTTTAATGAAAGTTACAAGCTCTGACAAATGGAATGCAATGCACCATGGATGTGGATGAGAAGGCAGATAGTGAAGCAGAGAAGAGCAGTAAAGAAAGAGAAACAATCGGGTTGAGGGATAAAGATATTGTTACTTATTTGCTGTCGCAGTGCTTTGCTTTTAGGTTTATCAATACATCTCTGTTAAGTGGAAATTTCCAGGCTTGGTTAATAGTGATGTAGCCAACCTTCAAACTGGTTTGTGCTCCAGTGAGTATACTATGGTGCAGTGATCACACTGGTCTGAAATCCCAGTTGGCTTTGAATGTATAACATTAACAATATTGGCCTCTAATGGGATTTCCCCCATTATGATGGTGCATTGCCAGAATGGCAGCTCTCACATATCCACACTGAAAAACAAGCCTAATAATATTGAGACAGCAGTAAACAGAGCATGCAGTTTTGCACAGAGGCAATTAATACCTATAAATCTTATGGGGCCAGTGTATTACTTCAAAGGTTGATGAATACTTGAGGCACTCAATAGTGGTCAATAAAATCCGGAGTGTTAGTAAGAATCATCCCTTGATATCTGCCACAAATCACATAATAGACAGTAATAGCGTAGCTTGTAATATTGTAATATTGTAACTTCACCTGTCAGGTTAAATGAAAGCGTTATTGCACACAAAATGCCCTCACTATTTCATTGGAAGCTAGTGTTGCATTTATAGCCAAAATTTGACTAGACTAACTGCAAGCATTGCACTGCTGAGATGGGTAGACTCGGTCCTGAATGTTACTGTGCTGCCATTTATCATTCATTTTCTCTGGCTGTGTTTTTTCCCTTCTTTCATTATGCCCAGCTCAGGCCACATCCCCAGACTGAACCGACGTGTGACATTTCCCTGTACTAGTACTGATCTTGTGTGCTGTACTGATCAA